ATATATATATATTACATCTATTATTCAGTGCTAGTAATTTGAATTCTGTTCTTAATGCTTAGATAAACTAATCATTTATCTTTGATCTTGGATTTAGAATTTGGTTGGAAAACGTTTTCTGGATCTAGATTTGAAACAAATCACCTATTACTTTTGAAAGCCAGGGATGGTTTTGAAATTAATAGTTGCAACAAGTTCTGATTCTTAATGCGGGATATTTAACTAAATGAAGTGAGGAATCATTCATTGAGTTAAATATCTTAGAATTTCTTATGCCAAGGAATTGGGTCTGAATGAATATAGAGAACTCAATGGAAATGAGTAATAGAATCATTTGCAAGAATCAATAGGAATACATAGGAGGGAGATTGATGAAATTTAATCCCAACTGTTTATCATATCTATTTTCTTAAATTTAATCTAACTTTGGTTACTTAAGTTTAAATCACTGCTCATATCAAATATTTAACATGGGTGATTATTCAAGCTTTGAATTTATAAGTAAAAATTAGTATAATAGAAATCAAAATCTAGTTCACTTGCCAAGTGGTGTGTTTGCGAAAAACCCCATCATTAATCATGCCTTTACTCCATAATAAGTATGATCATTGCAGTCTAAATCATATGAAAACATGCAAAGATAAGCTTGGATTTAAAAAGAAACAACATGGTAGAAAGGTATTAAACTAACTATACAACTTGTAGAACTCAACATTCAACAACCATTTAAGGTAACAACTTAACAACATATATCAACACATCAACACAAACTTTATAACTTAACAACAACATGGCAATATTTTCATCTTACAACACAATTATGTGACCCATCAACATCTCAACATAGCATGTGAACAACACAACATATCAACACATCATATGCACAATACAACAATTATATGCGTTGTCACGCATTCAATTAAGAAATCTCTTACAATACAAGTGAGCAATCTAAGTGACTTTATCCTACTAAACCAACTTAACAACACAATCTTTTTGGGCTTGCTGATCAATAATAAATTTGGATGAGAATCCACGACACAACATGATTTCTCGGGTTTCACCACTTAAATTAGGAAACTCTAGTATTCTTAT